AGAGAAGGAGAACAGAACAGAAGGACAGAGTGTACATGCTGGTGTGTGTATACAGGCAGAACAGAAAGGTACAGAAAGAGCAGAAAATAAGCCTGAGTGAATATCCTTTAGATTTGCCATTTTAGGGCCAAATTCTGGTCTCAGTGACAGAACTACTCCAGATTTATCTTATTACAAATAGTAACAGTTCCAAGACACAGATACAGATTAGGGGGGGGTTATTAATTTTTAAGGGATTCATTTGGGGGGGTTCTGCCTATGCAGACAGAGATCTAAACCCCACCCTTTTCACTCTCACCATCTGAACCAATGGGTTGGAGTTTAAACTGCAACAGCCATGGCAAGTAGCACCCATTTAACAGCAATGCTTCATGAAACACAGACATTGCAAATGCTCTGCCTCCTTTCCTCTCAGCGAACAGGCTCCTGTGTGTTCCTGAGTGCCATGTGTTAGAGAAGGACAGGCCCAACCAGGTCTTCTTTACCCATGCTGAGAATTAGTGCAACATTAACTGTGGCCTGACTGAATACCACCTCGATATTCACTCGCTACTACGCCATAGTCTCAAACACGCACAGGACTGTAGCTCCTGCAGGAAAGAGAAAAGAACTTCTTCAGGGATGGATACCACGTTGCTTTGCTGTGCTAAAACACAGGCCGAGGTTGGCTGAAAACGCGAAGTGGCTAGGTACGATTTGCAATTTGCTGTTTACTCCAAGAATAAAGTGCTGATACCTGCTGCGTACCAACCGAGGCGACAACGCTGCCTGCTTGCACGGGGAGCCTGCGGCAGGTCCCGGGAGCCGACCCAAAGCCCTGAAGTCAGCAGCAGGCTCTTCATTGACTTCAGCAGATAACAAGTCAGACCTCCAGCTGCCCTTATTTTCCCAGTCTAAGTGAGGGATTTCATATCCTGTTATTCTTGGGCAGCTGGGGAGTATTTGCTTCACAAATTTACATATTTATTTCTTCAGTGTTGTAGAGTAAACAAATTCCTTCAGTAATCTTACATGATAGTTAAACTAAAAGCGTTCAATGGCAATATTTTGAAAACAATAGCCAGCGCTATGAAAACTGTTGGTAGCTTGTATACATTTCTCATGGCTGAGCTCTTCATATTTTAATATTTTTTTATGTGCTGACAAAGCCTCGTCAGAGAGGACATCAGAAGGATCATGAAATGAATTTTGGAAAGGGTGTTTTCCATATGGTTCCCAGAAGCACAGAAGAGCCTTTATGTGCATATGTACATAATGCCATTCTAAGAATTCCTGCAGGAATAAAGCATTGACTCTCGAATCTCGAATCTACTTCTAAATCAGAGTCAACACCTAGAAAAATAAATAACAGCTTTTTAAATAAATGGTCACATTAACACTGTCATGATAACAACTAAGCTTGGATTTCATTGCATACGGAAGACTTATTCTGATGGAGAGCACTACAGCATAACGTGATTTTTAGACCACTACATCCTGCTCAATGTGGCTAATTTAACTTCCCTTTGCCTTTTTGTTATACCTAGGGAATTTCCATTTCAAGAAAAAAAATTACACTTATTGATGAAAAGAAAGTATTTAATTGAATTAGATTTACCTGAGACAGTGGTAGGCCATCAGACAGGCACTGGCCCCAGAGGATGCAGCTGACACCTCAGATACTGCGGGGCCTCGAACCACGGAGACCTGACGATGCCCTTCAGTTCCACCACACCGCACCTCGAGTCCTGACATCTGCAACTTCTTTTTGCTCTGTGGCACGACCTTCTGCCAGCCTTCTCTGCCTCATCTAACAGTCACCTCCCACTTCAGGCCATGACTGTACATGACCCAGCCTAGAATGCCCCTTTTTTCCAGCATGTCAGGTTTTTGCAGCTTTGCCCTTGTTACCTCCTATCAGCCACAAGATTTTACAAGAGTATCAAACCCTGGTAAGCCTGTTTGACTCACTAGTCCAAATGATGAACTGGTAAATAGTATGAACACTACTCACAGGAACTGTGTAACCCATGTTTGGCTGCTCTTCCATACTGTGATTAGCATATTTAATAAATCTTTGGTGTTCCCGTAATAGCCTAAATACAGCTTCTCTTCCACACACTATGAAAGCTTCTCTCTCCTACAGAGACTATTTTTTTCCCCTGCATTATACAGGCTTCTGTTGTGGATCTCCATTTGTGTCTCTAATTCCTGACATTAGCATGAATGATTTGCTCCCTGAAGGCAGCTGACATTCTTCAGGATATTTTTATTTATATATATAAAAAAATCTGGGAATCCAGAATTGACATTAATATTAGCTCTGACAAGACTAGACCCCCGACATATTATTTTCTTATAAGGAACCTCAGTACTACAAAAAAATACGCTGTAGAATCTTGAGAGGATATGCACAGACCTCAGAGAATTGCATGAAACTTAGCTAATGTCTCCAAATGCTGCAAAACAGAAGCAGTAATTTTTTGTTTATAAGGCTTCAAACACATCCTTTATTCCTGTCTCTTTTTGCTTCCACATCCATATTTGCTTATTATTTGAGATTCATTCAAATACAGCCCCTTCACTGTGCTTGCTTTTCTTCACACTTGCTCAGATCTAATATAGGAAAAGTTTAACCGCGATCAGTAGACTCAAGCTATTAAACATCCATGTGGAGGCCTTTCCTAGTTTATTACCCATTAATTTTTTTCCCCAGTTTTATGGAAAATGAGAAGTGTAGTCTCTACAAGTGTCTCTTTAGCAACTGCAGAAAATAGATAAATGAAAAATGAAAAAATATAAGTTATTGCAATATGCTTATCATTGCAGGACATGAGTGGTTGAACACTGCTACACCAAAAACCAGAATGTCCCCAAACAAGCATGTTTGGGACAGATTGTCTATGACTGAGTGCTGGCATAGAAGGAGGGAGGTATTTTGAAAGAGTCATTCTGGAGACAAGTATATGGATAGAAAGTAAAAAATTTATTAGAATGAAAGATAGAGAAGGAAGGAAGGAAAGAAGGAAAGAAGAAGGAAAGAAGGAAAGAAAGAAAGAAGGAAAGAAGAAAAGAAGGAAAAAACAAACCTGTTTTTCTTCTTTCCTACTGGCTCCACAACAGAAAATGTCACACATTTTTAGTTGCATGGTACCAATTATTTCAGTACCTTCTAAATAATTAAATGAAGAGTTTGATCGTGGCAGCCCTGGAGTCCAACCCAGGTTTTAGGATCCCACCACAGCCTTCTTTCCCCAGTCCAAACTGGTACAAATTAGCCTATTTTCCCATCCTTTACAACGACCTTCCCAAAGGTAGCTGCCACTCCACACCACTCACTGCTGAGCAGCAGCAGCAGCAAACCCAGCCGGGCATTAGGCACAGGACTTACACGGCTCAGTAGTGAATAGAGCTGCAAAAACTGTTTCCCCAGGGGAAAAGAATCAGGAGAGAGGCCAGCGTCCAAGTGGCCAGATACATGACAGAGACTGCTTAATGGACTGCTCTGTTTCAATGTGAGACACAATCATCTTCATTTTATAGTTAAATAATTGAATCAAAATCAAGCACAGGCTCTTACTGAAGAAAGGGTAAACCATTAATGTGGCATGAAAATTTGAACCAAAGGAAACCCTACAACACTCAGTGAAGAAGACAAGCAGGAGCTGGACAGGGTGAGAAGAACCTGAGGAGGTGGCCGGAGGGGTATTCCCTGAGAGGAAGGAGGGGATGGGGAAGCTTCCCCTCCTTGCTTGGCTAGCAATGAGCCACAGCTTTGGGACCCCCAGGACGGGATGGATGCAGTGTCTTCATCCCTCAGAACCGTCCCAAGCAATCAGAGGGTATGGGTGCAGAAGTAATTGCAGGGAATTATGTTAAATGCATACAGGATTATGGTTTGTTTGTTTTGCTTGTAGCTTCTGTTTTCCAGTCCCATAAGTAAAGACTAGAAACCAAATCCCATCTTTAATTGGATTGGTCTAAAGGTCAAACCTCAAGTCACACTGCAGAAACTCCAGTCTTGTTTTACTATCAAGACTGCCCAGCGATGTTGAGATAAATAAATCCAACAATTTAAGATAATCTGGCCAGGGCCTGAGGGATACCTCCTGTCCAGTGACAGAAGTCTGGGAGGGACGAAGGGGCTTGTGCTGACTTTCGGGACAATACTGAATACCCAAGCATCACTGAATACCTTCTAGCATCTCTTCTTCAAACAAACAAACAAACACCCATGTTTCCTGGCAAAGCTGTCTTCCCTTTCTTTGACAAAGAAGCTGATACTTAAAATTCACACTTAACTGTCATCACAGACATGTCCTAAGTTTCTTTAACGATCCCTGTGTCAGTGATTCATACAGTATCACGTAGGAAGTCAGAGGCAAGGAGAGGAATGGGACACAGGTTTCCTGAAGCCGAGGATAGTTCTCTAATTACGAGAAGCTTTACAGATTAGAGAGCCAGAAGGCAACCTTGTGATTAGCTATTCTCTCTTCCTGCAGAACACGGGCTGTAGACACTGCCTGAATTAATTCCTTTCTGAATTATCAGTAGTTGTCATATTTTTCGGTTCACAGACCCTTACAAATTTTCCAACAGTAATACCGATTGCTGTAAAGTTTAAGCTTCCTGACAACATGCAGTTTTATCCTAGTTACCATTTGTTATTGCTGGCAGGTAATCCATTAAAACGCGCTGAAAACTCCTGAATTAAAGATATGCTGAAAGAACTACTGAACTTGATTTAAACATCACCACAACTTTTGGCAAATGAATTTGACAGCTGATTACCCACACTTCAATATATATAATAACATATATACATAACCTGATTTTTTTTCAACTGTAGTATTCATCCAGCATAATTTATTATTTCCATGACTTATCTGAAGTGTCCAGAATGGTGGCTATGTATGGAACATATATATTACCCCAGAGAGGAAGCTCAGGTGTAAGAAAAAAAAGTGTGACTTTATATATATATTTATGGAGAAACATAAATCATACTGATCCTACTGCATATGCGGAAATACAACCGCACACTAAAGTCTCTCAATGATGACAACGAAAGATTCAAGGTATTTCCAATTACAACTTTTTTTTAAATTTTAAAAATAAAAAACCTAAATAAAGTAAAAACCTAAAAATATTAACAGTGATTGTGGATAACCTCAAACTAGAACATAATTTCAGAAAAAGACAAATACTAATAAATATTTGTTAATAACGCTGTGAAAACAGCTAGCATGTTACTTGCTGGCTTACAGTTTTTGTAGCCTACTCTGGCAAATTCATATGGAGAACAACTACAACATAAGCAGGTTTCTAGGGAGTTTCTCAGGAATCACTTGCAGGCCCACCACTACACATAACAAGTCTAAACAAACATAAAACCATTGCTGAGGAAGTGTGCAAGCTGTATTACCCTGAAAATCCTTATGAGCAATGAGGACAGATACACTGGAAGCAATGCGATGAACTGTGCGTTTTCAGCCGCGGCACCACCGAATCCAGCTCTGCAGAAGGTCATTTTCAAGGAGCAAAGACTGCACACCACACTTCCAGCCCAAGGAGATGGAGCCTGGAAAGCACCAGCTGAAAACCATTCACAGAAAGAGTTATGAACCACGTGCTAGGGGAGTAGGAAAGGGAGGATGAGAGAAAGATCTAACACGGTCTTGGGATTTTCAGATGTAGAGGGAAGGGAAGGTACCCAACGGCTGCAGAGGGCAGCGGCTGCATACTGTTTCACATTGTGAAAAGGACAATGAAGACTCTGGGGAAAAGTCCAATACACCAAAAATGGTGTAAGAACGCAGAAATATTCCTTACATTTACAGACCACAGGAATTTAATACATTCACTTCTGCAAAAAAAGTTAGAAGTGAGTGCAATAAAACATACCCAGGTCATTATTCTAACGATGAAATTTCATAATCCAGTAACTGGAGAAGTGGGAAAAAGCAGCTCACCTCTTTAATGAAACAGCAGAAAAAAATACAAGCTATACAAACATATGCGACTCTGGGATTGTTTAACAGAGCAGCAGGTGTGAGAGAAGTACACCGGGAGTATCACATAAACTTCAGCTAAAACCACCAGCATACTTAGGCAGCTTTGACTTGGTTTAAAGCTGCAACTCTGTTTAAAGCACTCTACCCAGAGGCTGAGAATAAAGAAACTTGTTTGATTCTTCCCAGGTTTAGGTGTTTGACATTTGATGCTCTTGCACTTATTTTCGAAGAACACACACAACGAAATATGTGGCTCCATTGCAACTTCTCTTTCCAAAGAAAAAGAACATGAAGACTAATAAGCTGTAAACACTTAGGTTAGGAGAAGTATTAGAACCATTAGAGACACAAAGCACCTGTATCAAATATCATTATCCCAGCATGAGAAAGATACAACAAAAATGCTTAGAGTTAAAGCCATACAAATTTAGATTAAAAACCTTCTGGTTGTGCCCTGAAGACAAAAACAGGGATAATAATTATCGTCATGTTACCAGGTGAGTATTCTTTAGCATGGACGGATTCACTGTCTCTCACAAATGTTAGATCAAACGCAGATGCTGGTGTGGACGCTTTAGTCAAGCCTAAATCACTGAGTTTAGCATAGGAGCACCAGCATTAGATGAAATGTTAATTGCCTGTGTAATGCAGAAGGTTACGCTGCATCACAAAACCTGTGTTTATTCTTTAAAATGTGGGAATGAGTGTGTGAACGCTACCACTTGCATACCTTCTGGTTATTCTTCCGAGAGTTCCTAAAAACAGACAAATGAAAAAATGATCATGCTGTTTCATCATCTGCTTCTTTCCCCACACGGTTGCGAGAAAAAAAAAAAAAAAAAGTGAAGAGTTTCTTAAGTAGGTCACTCCGTACAAGCACAGAGTTATGTGTAAATAGCGAGCCATGGATCTTCACCTTAGCTGTCTGGAGAGGAGTTTCAGTGATCAGTCCAAACACTGTCTCTGCCAGGGATGTGCCAGGAAAAACAGTAAAAATAAATTTAGTGGAAAATACAGTAACAACAACTTCCTAAGTAGGGATGTTTAGCCTTTAGAAAATACATAATAACAAAATAAACTAATTAAATTCAATCTGTTACCTATGGCAGAAGCAGCAAGCTAAAAAGGGATCACAGTGCAAGAACTGGGTGCAGTGCTACTGCACTCTGTGAATGTGCCCTAAATCCCAATCCTGGATGTAATAAATGCTTAAATAAGATTACTTCTGCTGAATATTCATGCTGTAATTACTTGAATTATGGAACTTCTACCTAAAGATTTTACAAATTAAGTAAGTGGAAAGACCCAGAGGGGGAAACAAAAAAAAAATCTTGTTTACAAGGAGGTAAAGAGGTAAAGAGAAGTGTTCAAAGGCAGACCGAATCAGAGGCATCTGACAACTGTTGACACCCTGAGCTCTAACGCCTGCATCAGAAGAAACTCAAGTCCTTCTCTTTGGGTACAAAGTACTCATACCTAATGTATATCTACATTGAAGACAACTTCTAAAATCAGATCTTTTGACCAGGACAATACCCCTTAACATGCCTCCATGTTTTATTCCAGAAAGGAAGAGGGCAGTATTTGCAGAGAATTGCTTTCTGACTGGTTTTATTAACAGAGTTCATGAGGGAAACAAAAGCACTTAATCCATACTCATTCTCCACCCCCTTCTGTCCCCACTCACTTCTTAAGGAAAGCAAACCTCCAGAGGAAGCAGACTTATTTATTTCTTATACAGAAAAAGCCTGGCCACTTCTACAAGCATGAAGATAGAGATCTGTGACCTCCTCTCCCAAGCAGGTTTTCAGCAGAGAGCCTCACAAGACTGTTCACTTATTCAGTCTTTGCATCACCATTAAGTTCCTGTGCAAAATAGGATTATGTGGGTATAACTCACTGTGCCCAGTATCAGTGAAGATCTGGGGCCCCTTAAATCCAAGCCAATGATGGTCATGAGCTATCATATAACCATCTTACATGTCAGAACTACTATGGAGTTGGCTCTGCCCTGAATATGTTCATGGTTTTATTAGACCCTGGCTTTTAGGGTTTTTTCCCCAGTCTTTAATATTTTCATTAGCCTCCACTCTAGAACATGATGAGAACACCAGTTTTGATCAGTTTTGTGAAGTATGTATGTGAAACATGTATGTGAAAGGCTGGCAATGCTTTGCTGTTTTAGATTTGGAGGTATTATGCTTAAACTAAATCCTCAGAAAGCCATACTAGGTATTAACTAATATGAAAGGTGATGAAGAACACCAGAAATGGACAAAGACACAAAACCTGCGGATGAAAGCAAGAAAGGAAGGAGGACGGGAACATCCTTAGAGACTTACACAAACACCCTAATCCAGAAGAGCATGGAGATGACTGTGCTTACCCACAGCTTTGCTGGCTTCACAAGGGCTTTAGGCAGCCATGGGAGCCCACCCATGGACGGACGCTGCCCAGACTGGGCTCCTACATCTGAGAGCAGCTCCAAACTTCAAAGAGCCTTTTTTGTTTAGTGTTTGCTGCCATCAACTGACTGCTCTAACTCTTGCTTAAATTCAAAGGGAATCGGAAAGCTTTGCTGTAAATTTGCAGAGTGCTCTTAGTTCAAGGCCACTTCATTCCTGGATGTAACATGTCAACCATGCACAACACAAATGGAAAAAAGGGATTATCAGCAACTGTCAAGATCCCTGGAGCAGGTAGATTGTATAAAAATACGCATTGTTGTAAATGACAATATACAGTTATCAGAACAGCAAAAAAAAAATAAACTTCTGTAGCTTTTTTTAATTACAGAGCCCTAAACTTTTTGAATCACTGAGTACAGCAACTGAGAGCCCACCCGGTCTCTTTACCCCTTTGCTTTCTCATAAGCCCTATGCATAGTTTCAAACAACATATGTGGATATTTTTAGTAAGAGGTGATGCAGAACTTTTATTTTCCTGAAAATTCTAATCATTTTACTGAAAGAATAAGGAAGAATCGCCTATAATGTACATATTAACAAAGTATGAAAAGATTCAGCTACAGAAGAACTGGATGACAAAGAAGCATCAATATGACAACAACAAAAAAGTGAACAAGATATCTGACAGACCTGAAATAAGAACAATCTATTCTGATAGCCATGGTATCATGTCATGAAGCTCCATGCATCAAAGACAAATATGTTTTAATACATTATTATGCATAGCTGGCTAATGATTACTGACTTTATTTGATTAATCATGACCTCATGCGTAGATAGCGCTCACTCTTTCTAGATGGACAAAAAGATTCTTCCCGTATCACATAATCTTACCCTCAACAGAGGGAGGAGAAACATTCCCTGTGATCTAGTTCATATAAAACATGGCAAAATGGAACACTTTAAGTGGCAGATTTACAGCTAATGTTAGAAATTACACTGCTTAACCAATCTAGTTATTTAGAACTATCATACCTAAACATTTAGATATTAGCCAAAAACTTGAGCGGATTTCAAAAAAATACATGCATGAACCTATGCTAATTTTTTTTTCCAATAGGACACCTATATATAAACGCCTGAAGCACCTCTAGATATTTACAAAGGCAGTTGGGCACACAGAACAGCTCAGGAATATGACAGCTCCTATTAGAGATCAGCACTGAGACCCCAGGAGCTGCTACCGCAGCAGGTACCTGACGCCCGCCTAGGGGGGTTCCTTTCCTACCTTTGGCTGAGCTTATATTTGTGTATGGTAAAACCCAGGTATAGGTTAGAAAGCCATCAAGCATAGGCTGATGTGCCCGTATTAGAAGTACCAGTGTGACATCTGGTGGGCACTTTTTGGGAAAGCAATAGGCTGATTCCTTCAATCTTTAGCAACTCAGAAAGGTCATAAAAAAACCAAACCAAAAGGAGCAAAAAAGCAAATATGAGGAACAAGGAAAACAACATGGACTATACATGTAAGAAAAAAATATTTACAAAAGCCACAGCCAGAGGAAGACATTTTGTGTTCACTGGTATCGCTTTAAGAGTGCACCAAAGAATGATAACATTCTGTGACAGGAACTGCACATACATCTCATGTTGGCC